AAAAATTATGTGTTTATGGCTTCTTCCATTGTACAAAACACAGTGAACTCAGATAAACCAAAGAGGAACAAAGCTGCATCAGCTACCTTTTTGCATTGTCATGTATCATTAATAATTTTTCCCCTTCCTTTAGACAAGCTCTCTTGAAATTGCTGTCTGCACTCCCTCCCCTGATCTTCCATGTTATTTCCCTGTAGTTTGCATTATGATATTTTGATAATAAATATTATTACTTGGTAGTTTTCCATTATTCTTCTCAGGAATGTAAAGGATATTTTACTCGAGAAATATAAGGTTTATTACAGAATCGAGAAAAAAAATTCCAGTCCTACAGAATTCTTCAGTACTACCAAAAATTCTAGCTTGTTCCAGGCATTCAGTTAGTTATTTCGCTTGGGCTTGAGGCCAGAAAGAGGGCTTTTGTCCCCAGATACTCCTTGTTCACACTCCTACCTCATAATTTCACTGTTTATAGCCTGCAACAGGCTATAAAGTAACAAACATGAAAAAGAACAGATTAATTTATATACTTACCATCAGTGAGACAAGGAGATGACTAGATACAACCAGAGAAATATTGAGCCAGTTCTTATCATCCCAAGCACTGAACCATATAACTCCCCAAAATGTGTTCAAAAGTACAAAACATGATGTCAAAAAAGCTGGAATAAAGACATTGGCTTGTTAACTTTATTATCCTGCAATCTTTCTACAAGATACATGTGTACACTTTCACAAAGTTGCTATGTAACTGGCTAATTTGTATACTACATGTACAACAGGTATACTGCACAATGTACAATGTATTAATCTGCAACTGGGAATATGTCACATTTTACTTCAGGTTGCACAGGGTTCAACATCCATTTAGCTCTGTCACCAGCCATTCAAGAGTAGTGACCATTATATACTAGGGATGGCCCTTGGCATACATGTCTGTTAATGGGACACTATCATGTTCATGACCGGCTCAAAGAGTGAAAACTAAAGAGACATGATTCCAAAATTTCACACAGCCATGCATGTGCATTCTCGTCCCCAGAGGCCGCGCTACTTTTGGTCAGCACCAGGAATCATGGCCTCTGGGCTGGTCCAACACCGGAAGTCCGTAATTCACAGACTTCCTGTCAAATCTGACAAAATAATCTGACTGGCTGAGAATACAAAACGAATACTCTATGTGTGTTCAGAAAATCAGGTTTGGCCAGAGGTCGTGATTCTTGGTGCTGGCCAAAAGGAGTGTGGCCTCTGGGGATGAGAATGATGCATCTGTAGATCACATATGACATCAGAATGTGGAGAGAACAAAAAATAAAGCGGTACACAAACCTTTAGCATACAAACAATGAAATGTTTCTACTACTAATCTTACTGCTCCATTCAACAGCTTTTGTCTCAAAATTTGAATGTCAGAGAAGGTTTTCCCCTTCAAGAATAAATACATGCACATTGTATGGCAAAAAAAAAACATGACAGTGGTTGAATGAAATATCCTTTCTTATTTATTGTATCTTTGAATCTTTAATATAGGGAAAGTAGCATTTCTATCTTTGATGTACATTTATTTATTGCTACTATAGAATTTCAATTTGTATTTTTATAGTTTTTCAATTTGTATTTTTCGGTTCTATTGTAGCTGAAAAACCCACTTAGGGAACTTCGATAAAGTTTGTATGAATGTATGTACATGTATATGAGCACCTTCTTCTGTACATCATCAATACATCTGTTTCAAGTCCTTAAATATCTTTTATAAGAGGAAGTACTGAGTAAGCAAAGAGAGACCCTTACACAACTCACCAGACACAATAAGAAAATTTTGAGGTACGTCATCCTTTAGACCTAGAGAACCTGGGCCAGTGATATCTGCTAGTACATTCACCATAGCAAAGAGTCCACTTATTATGCCATAACCTAGGCCAGAAACTGAAAGGACAAACAATGATATCACGACTTAATGACTGGAAACTAAAGGAACAGAAATTACATTGTACATTATGATATTAGCTCCTAAGAATCACGAGCTAAACAAAGAAACATATTTTTAATGATATGCCAGTGATTGACAGTTAATTTCATACATGAGTTTTAAATGCTGGAGCAATTAAGTCAACATATTTGTATTTTGAGCATGTGGATTTTACTATTTTAATTATCATAACTACGATGTAATGAACAAAAACCAAAAGGAACAAGTATTGAAGCCTGCAGTGTTCTAAAATTTTGCAAAAATATGGGAATTTAGTTATGCCTGTGAGTACTTTCAAAAACTCAAGGGTTAGGGTTAGGGTTACATGTAGTTAGGGTTCACTAAACACTGATGACAGAAGAATGCCCAAACATGACGCATTTACCCCAGATTCTAGATTGTACATGTAGCAAATGCTAAGTTATTGATCATTACAAGTACATAGACTATACATGTATGAAACCTGAAATAATTGGCCTTGAAATCGATGAAATCTTTCAACAAGGCAAGAACGAACAAAAATCACTGGCTGTAGAAAACCATGAGATGCTTTTGAATAAATTCATGTCGTACATCATGTGCAGGTTTGAAAACAAACAGGGTCACACCTGGCATTCATTTGATTGGTCTCACACTAGGGTTTTACACAGACTTTACAGAGAGTATAATCATGTAAATGGAAAGAATGTTTCTTTCCTAACTTATAAATAAACAGTTTCCAATCCTAACCATATGCAATCCTGTGTTTCCTTAGAGGTGTCTGGTTATTGATCATTGAAAGAAGGCCTTCATCTGCTTTCCTGAATAAAAAGAAAGTCCATATAATTACATAAATTAATAGTCTTCAGAATGTTGCTAGTCGGCGATTCTCAGTCGAGACAAGTTTTGTATACCACCACAGCATATCCTCGCATTTCTGTAGCATGAGCGTCTACATACTAGGTGCTTCATGTTACTGAAATTAGAGATAAGCACCCCTCCGATGGGCCACTTGGCCTGTTATTTTTTGAACTTTTTGTACTGTACTTTAACAGCTCAAGTTATTACATGTGCAGTACATAATTATACAATTTTTATATACAGTAATAATCACCATAAAATTTCACTGAAAAATAAATACCTCTTTACAAAATTAATACTAAATTAGTTAAGAACTATTCTCAAGAACATCCAAAATTGTTCCCATGACTACATGTAGATGTATGTAAGTTAACTTCTAAAATGGTATCTTTGCATTACAATCAACAACTACACCAAGTGAATGTTTCTCATTCATTCATACATGTATGCTATTTTCAGGAGTAGAAACATTCTCCTTACCTCATCAATTTGTAGAAAGCCAGTCTAAAAAGTTCTTGAAAAATAACAGAGAATACAATACCAAATGCTAGATGCTTCTTAAGAGGTGAAACAACAGTCCACCAGATTGAGGACAACAGCAGTGACAATAACCAGAAAAATGCACTGCAAAATAAGGAGATATATAAAGCATTTCAATAGAGCCGTTTTAATTGAGTGTCGTAAGACCAAAACCAAAGTTATAACTCTAGCCAATCACAAAGGATATAGACAATACAGTGAACCAATCAAAAGTGGTTAAAATGGGAGTGAATTAATGGACTGTCTGTAGGGACATAAAAAAGTGGCTGCTATAGAGAGGTGGCCATTGTGGAAAGGTGGTCGTTAAGCCCTGGCTAAATGGACTTGCAAGTAGACTTTTTCACCGTTTGGCCACCTAACCCAAGTCAACACAAATTGAGTGACATCCATTAACCTATTATTAGCCAATGAACTATAGGATATGCATTGCCTGTCTTAAAATTTTTTTTTGCGACTTGCGTGTACTAGCAAGGAATCTTGCGGGTCTATTTGGCTACCCAATGCAAGTTTCTAGGCAAGTTCACCTTGCATCTACTTGCGAGTCTGTTTGGCCACCCAATGCAACTCTCTACACAAGTT